AGTTTTAAGTAATTTCATTATCGAATTGCTTCGAATTGTTTTGTCATTCGAAAACACATGATAAACGGATCGCACCTGAATCGCATTACACTTCATAAATTTGACTAGTCACATCGTATTTGAACCACATCACTTCCACGTTTAATCGAAATCACATCTGAACATAAGTAGCAATCAGAGTTTTAGGCAAAATTAATTTGGCTTGAACATAAAGAAAAGACAACATATGAGTTATTTTGCGATTATTTATATACTTTATGTGAATTATCATAGTATTATTCTTTTTCAGTGTTCTAAAATACATTATACGCTAGCCGGACGGTGGACCACTATATAGCATATAAATGTATACGCGGACGTTTATACGGGGTATATACGGTAGATATTTTGCATATTTATACATATATATACAAAAATATTTTGTTTTAATAGGTAATAGAAAAAATATTTTCATTAATTCTATAAAAAAAACTTAAATAATTAACATTAACATGATAGTTTTAATTGAAATAGTAAAATAACATAGTTGAAAATTGTTTCAAATAACAAAAAATAGAATTATATCAATTATATTTTTGGAAAAAAAGTCAAAAACATAGATTGATTTAAAATTTTTGGAAAATATATATGTTAAAACTGTATATTTGATCATTTAGTTATCGTATATAAAAATATATTTTTTTCATTTAAAAATACATATTGCATAAATACAGTACGGCCAACTACTGTATAGCGTCTGGACGCCATATATACGGGCGTCTGGACCGTATTTTATAACACTGTACTTTTTAGACTATTGGTATTATTCTTTTTAGACTAAATATATTTTTTCAGATATCACTCTTATCGTTTTCGAGACTCGTATATAATAGAGGATATTAGAGTTTTGAGAAACTCTTAGAGATTAGCCATGAGAAGAAGTAGTCATCAAAAAAAGAGGAAGACACAACCTCTAGGTCCTTTGCCTGCGGATCTTGTGTTCAAAATCCTCAAGAGATTGCCTGCAAAATCTGTAGCTAAGTTTCTCCTCGTGTCAAAATCATAGGATGCAATAATCCATAGTCGTGATTTCATCATATCATTTCCTTTTCGATCCTCCTCTTCATGTCTCCTCATAGCTTACAACCAAAAAGATATCTCAAACGAACGTCGCAAATTATTCTTTTTCTCCTCCACAAGAATCGACCAGACTGTTCCTAATCTCATATCCTCTACATTCCATTTTCCGAGCTCCGTTCCAACGACGTCACTCACCATTACGTCCATTGCTTGATGTTTTCTGAATATCAAAAACACCAAGTCATAACTAACCCTAACACTGATAAGTCCATTACTCTACCTGCACTTATATCAAGGAGAAAATTTAACAAAAGGTTTTTTGGATATGATCCAGTTGATGGTCAGTACGAAGTACTCTGTATAGCTAAAACATGTATGGAAGTGGCACCCGAGTCGCGCCTAGTGGAAACCAAGTGCTAACGCTAGGATCATCATCTAAGTGGCGAAATATTGAGTGTAGCAATCATTATGATCTGATATCTGATGGTATATGCATAGATGGAGTCTAGTCTTGTACTATTTTACTTACATGTGGGAAAATGTGATGGATCAACTTAACTTAGTGACATTTGAAGTGAGGTCTGAAATGTTTAGTGTTCTCACAAGTACAATCTCACCGGAATTAAATCAAGATTCGTTTAATTTGGTTACATGGCGAAAGTAGCTATATCCAAGCGAACTGGTACATATATGTTTGATTTGTGGGTTTTGGAGGATGCAAAGAAACATGAATGGTCCAAGATCTGTTTATATATTCATCATCCACGAGGCAACTTCCACATGACTTTACCTCCACGCGTAATTGGCACAGCTAATACTGGTGAGATTGTTTTTGACGATTTATGATATTTTTGGAAACTTATATGTTGTCTATTATAATCACACAAAAAATAGCCAAAGAATAGTTGAGATGCCATGTAACGCTAATGCTAACAATGTTAGATTAGTTGGGGAGGCATTTTGTTTCGTGGATCACACAGAAAGTGTTATGTTGTTGTAGTAAAGAGAGAGTTTGTGTGTTGATTTAAATTTCGTTTAGTTTGTCTTTTTTTTTTATTATCAGTAAAAAATATTTTCGATAATGATGTTAATGTTACTTCGTTTGTATCACATATTTCGATCAATTTTGTGTTATTTTAATACATTTGAATTTGAAGATTTTTCTTTGCTTAATATAATTTTAATTTATTTGCTCTTACATATGATGCAATGATAACGATATAAATTTTGTAATGATTAAATATTACGCACATAAAAATTAGTAACCCAAAGAGAATGACAAATAAGATATATATTTTACCTTCGAGTGGTTATGTCTTATGTCTTTTATTTTATTTTTTTCTTTAAACAAAATTTTAACATTCAATTTTGTCTTTTTTCTTTCCATAAAAAAACAATAGAACATGTATTTCATAAAAGATTAGAGACAACTTGTTTTTTTTTCTTTTGTAAAACTTTGTTAGATATCTTTAATTTTTTATTTTTAATCGTCTAGATTTCATTTATTTAAAATCTATTTTGAACGATAAGTTTTTTATTTTCTTGTTTAAATTATTATAAAACAAAAACATTAATTAGTTTTCTCTTTATTATACCATATATTTTTGTCAAACGTTTATATATTACATTTATTTGTAAAATATTCATATACATATTCTAATTAACTTTTGTCATCTTTTATTAGTGTTATAACGAAATTATTTCATAGTTGCATATTGAATGATATTAAATTCATGTCAACATATAAAAATATATTCGTCATTTATAAGTCTTTTTTTATTTGTG